TAAAGAGCAAGAAGAGCTCTGCTGCGGTGTCACTGCAGTCATCAAAGCTTGTGCGTATTCCCATGTGCAGCTGATGGGAAGTGAGAGCCCAGAGTCCTGGCAGACAGACGCTCTCAGGCTTTGCTTCAAAGTGATCCCCAGGTGTGCTTGGCTGACAGCACAAAGAGGAGATTTCATGCTCTTCCAAGCGTGTTTCCTTCCTTGCTATTGGCAGTGGAAGGGTGTAGGGATTAAACCTGGCTTTGCTGGACCTACTCTGTCCTTCATCGTGTGTATGTAGAGCCAGCATCAATAAGACCGTGGTGCTCTTTGGCACCCTTAAAGCTGCCTCCAGACATTGTGCTTTGCACCTCCTGGGACTGCTTCTGTCACTGCAGTTTCCCCTTCAGACAGATGGATCTCTTTCACTTTTGAAATGATGATTTGCTCTCCCCTGTTCCACTGCTTGCAGTGTCTCATCAGAGAGGCATGAGCTTTCAGTTGGTGCCCACCAGCATAGGGAGCACTGAAGCTGCAGGGGGGTTGTGGTGCAGAGACCTTCAGAAGCAGCCAAACCTTAGAGCATTGGATGAAGTATCCATGCAGAAAGAATCATCTGGGATGAGATTGGGGCATTGATAACCATTGTGGAGGGGTAAGGGGGGCCCAGCGGTGCTGCTTGTGACAGGATGGGGAGGGTTAATGTTGGAACTAACAATCTTCCTGCTTGACTTCATTCAGGAATCCTGTGGTCAGAGGCAATTTTCCTTGAAGCGCGACCGCAACGCAAGACCAAGAGTGTGGATGCTCTCAAGAAGTGTGAACACGACCCACACGTCCTGCTGGCTGTGGCCAAGTGAGTTCCTGGCCTTGATGTTGTAAAAAATACCCCTTTCTGTGTGCGGCTGCATCCAGGGTGAAGCACTGCACTCGAGTACAGCCCTGTGATTCTGGCTGCAGCAGCTCTAATAAGCCCCAAAGCAAGTAACGGCTCTCAAGCTGTCTCCTAGTAACTGTGCAGATCTCTCCCTTGATTCAAAGCAGGGGATGTCAGCCTGCCCTTGAGCTGTTCTGCTGGGGCTGGGGCTGCAGCACAGACAACAATACATTCACACAGAGCCCTTTTCCAGTGCTGGGTAATGGCACTCTGAAAATCACTGCTTTCCATCCCTTGAAAGGGATTTCAGTGTGCTTGCAGGTGACCTGGATGGACTTCAGTAAGTTTTTTAGGGTATATTTTAGGTATTTTGATAAATTAGGGACACTTTTGCCTGATTATTTATCAGGTTTTATGTGGCTGACAGTGTGTTCTTCATGTTTTCTCTCTATCCTAGATCCTGTCAGGTTTGTTTTAACCCCGAGCTGTTGTAGTCTGCCCTTCTCCTGCATTTCTCCTATGTCAGTTTTCCTCAGCTGTGGCCCTTCCTGGAATGCAGGCTACCATCCTGCTGTAGTTTGCTTCTCTGGAATGGAAAGATAATTTACAAGGGATTGTCTTCTTGTCTAGATTGAGTTGTGAGGCTTCCAGTGATGAAAACCTATTAGAACTGACTTACTCTGTATCCTTGTTGACCTGATGAACAGCTTTGCAGCAGCCGTGACTGGAACAAACTTCCTTCTGTTCCTTTGTGAACACCACGAGAGGTTAATGCAGGAGGAATTTTGCCCAAACAGTTGCCCAATTCTTTCATAACCCTTTTTTATAAGCCAAAGAAAACCATAGGATACATTCAAGTGACTGCAGGGCTGGGTTCTGCCAGATCATGACAGCAGACTCGTTCAGCTCTAGCAGCAAGGGAGAGTAATGTTAACTTTGCCTTATGGAAACAGCTTCCAGGCCCCTCCTGGTGCAGCCTCTCACAGTTCAGCAGCTAATCCCAACACAAACAGCTCCCACCTCCCATCACGGCTTGCATGTAGGTACAGTAATACCATCGTGTCTAATAACAGCTGTGTTAAGTGGGTTGCTGGAAATGGCCACTGCTTGCAGGAGCTGAGCCTCTGCTGTCATTGTTCGTGCTGTGTTAAATCACAGTTTATTTAACATGGAACAATCAAGAGTATTACAGGGCTTAGAAACAATCACATAAGCTGTATAATTTTATGACTGGCTAAGCTCTTTATGAGGGATGGCAGTCTGCTTTGATAAAGGCCTTCCCAGCTCAAATGAACTCTTAATGCAAAGAGGAGTGAACCCAAGAGACTATTGACTCAGCTGGATAATAACTGGGAAGAACTTCCAGAATTCATGAGTACCTTTATGAAACTGCAGCACTGGGGCTGGGTGCCAGGCTGGGATGGGAGCATGGAAGTGCTCACCTTTCCCTGATGAGGTAGGTCTGCTCTGTGCTTCATGGATGGGAATGTGTGACTGGGAGCATGCAGGGAGTGTTCAGCTTTTAGGAGCTATTTAATAGATGCTAAATTCAACTTGAAATACGAAGAAGTTGGAGGAGGGGAAATCGTGGAGGCATGTGAGCCTGTTCCCAGCCTGGACCAGTAGAATTAAGCCATTGAGTTAGCAAAGATTGAGCGTGGAGAGCAATACTTCCCCTCTCAGGAGTGTCTCTCTTGGTTAACATGCCTCACTAGGGGAGAGTGAAAACAGTGGATGCTCATTTCAGGCGTCTCCTATCTCTTCCCAGGGGAAGGCCAGTCAGCAGATGCCTGTGAAATCTGCTGTTTCCTTCTTGGGAGAGCAAAGAGCTCAAGATCTGGAGAGCTCTTCAGCTGGAGTGCTTTGGGTTCCTTGGAAATAGGCTGTTGGTTAACCCACGGTCGCTTTTCCCCCCAGGCTCTTCTGGAGCGAGCGTAAAATCACCAAGGCCAGGGAATGGTTCCACCGAACAGTGAAGATCGACTCTGACCTCGGGGATGCCTGGGCTTTCTTCTACAAGTTTGAGCTCCAGCATGGCACGGAGGTGAGTGTGTGTGCTGGGAGCAGGGAGCTGGGAAGGCAGCAGGGAGCCCTGGCTCATGCTGGATGTGCTGAGCTCTCTGCCGCCTGTGTGGCTCGCAGATGAGGCTGCGGTGTCATGACTGAGCATGAACAGGCCTGCGTGGTGGTTATTTAAGAGGCTCTGTCATTAACTGAGCTGTCTCTCAAGCTGCTTTGCTGTCCACAGTCATGCTGGGTCATGCAGAAATCGATGAAATCAATCCCCCTGCTGTATAATGCAAGCTCTCTCATAGATCTTCCTGTAATGGTGATGCTGGGTTTGTATGGCTGGTGCTGTCTCTCCACAAGTGTCAAGCGCAGGTTGCACGTGAACGCAGCCGCAGGAACAGTCTGTTCTAATCTCTCAGGGCAGTTTTTACTGCCTGATAGTGCTGAAATGATGGGAGTGTTTTTATCTCCTGACTTCAGAGAGACCTCTCACTGCACAGCTCTCGTGCAGGTGGGAATGCAGAGGAAGTTTCTGCTGCAGTTTAGCCTGTAAGTCAGTTTGCTCACAAGGCAGAGCTGCTGGGTTTGCACTGAGGGCTCCGTACCTTTAAAAACCAAAGCAAAAACCCACCATAAGCTTGGGAAAAGTGAACTGGAGAGGGGATTGTTTTGGCTCCATGCTGGAGGCATTGAGAGAGTTGCAAACTGTTGCTTTTCCTCCTCATAGGAACAGCAAGAAGAGGTGAGGAAGCGCTGTGAGAACGCCGAGCCTCGCCATGGGGAGCTCTGGTGTGATGTCTCCAAGGACATAGAGAATTGGCAGAAGAAGATTGGGGAGATCCTCGTGCTTGTGGCAGCCAAGCTTAAAAACACCTTCTAGAGTCCCCCTGCCTTCATCTGGAGTCATCTCTGTAGGACTTGCCTGCTTACCTGCTTTCGGTGCATTCACCCTCGCAGTGGAACAGACTTTGGAGGATGGGTGATACAGAAGAGCTTTCTTCCAGAAAGAAAAGCTGTTTCCTTCTCTTCCCAGTGCTCTTGGTTCACACAACACAGTCATAGGGCTCTGCAGCACATCTGAATGCTGTTGGTGTCACGTAGGAGAGACGAGTGGTCTTGGGAGGCTGTGTTGGCATCTTCATTTCAATGCCTGAATCCCCTGTAAATACAAGCTTTACTTAGGGCTTGGATGGATTTAGCAGTTTCTTTGCTTTCTTCCCTGGCATGCACTCCCCTCCTGCCCCTCTCTGTGCAGTTTCTTTAGTGTTTGGCCCATCTGATGCTGGTTCCTTATCAGCAGATCTGGGTTGTTGCTGTTTGAATACACTGAATGGACTTGAAGGAGATGAGTGGAGTTCTGCTGGGGGCGACCAGCAGCCGAGGGGATGGGCTGGCCCCTCTGTTTCAGTCTGTAGCCACAAGCCTGGCTTAGCCTGGTCTCTGTGCTGCAGCCCAGCTCAGGAGCATTCCTCCAACCTGAGCAGAGGGAGCGTTTTGTGAAATACAAAAGCATATTTCTAGACCCTTTTCCTCAGTTTTTAAGTGTATATAGTGCAACCTGCCCTGTTTGTGCCTGGCTTCAGCAAGCACAGGGGTGTTTTAGAGTAAGGCAAAATCCAGCCATCCCCAAAGGCTCTTTTGAAGGAGCAGCCTTTAAGTCATTCAGTCTGTGTGCTTTTACAGCAGCAACTGCTGTCAGTTGGCATGTTTGGGATGGCTCTTCACGTGCAGGTGGAAACGGGCCAATTCAGGAGAGGAAAAGCTTTGTATTTGGGACCCTTTCCTTTATCAGCTCCATCCTACACTTGTGATCTGCATTATTTTGACTCCCCCCAAACCTTCTTGTGATTGTTGAATGAGAAGCTGTAATGTCTGAGCTGTTAGGGTAGAGCAGAAGTGTCCAGGTCTCTGTCTGCATTACATTATGTATTTAGTTGGAGGAGAAAACCCCTTGTTTGGATAACGTATAAAATACAGCTTGGGTTTTTGTTTCCTTACGTTCTCTGTGGATGTGGTCTTGTCTTTTGGCTGGGAAGAGTGGGCCTGATAGCAGAAACCTTGGAACTTATCAGGCTCCCACCACCCTGGGAACATATCTGCTGGTGGTGGTTACAGCAAGTTGTGCTGCCAGCAAGGATGAGGAGCCTGTCCCTTACCACTGAAGCAGAAAGGGTTGGTCTTGGAGCAAAAGCCTCTTTTTGCTTGGGGTTTATAATGGAAACTCTTGTGCTCTCTCTTGAATAGCTGTGGAAGCGTCTGAAGCTGCGTTAAGGAGGGTGTAGATGACGGATATCCCATGGAATTGTAGTTTATCAGAGGTGAGTGAGAGGCACTGGGGGTTGAGAGACTTGCTCAGGGATTTCATGCTGTCACTGGCATCCTTCCTGTATGGGAAGGAGAGGGGAGATGTGGGGAGGGAATGTGCCTGGACAGGGATTCCATGACTGAGCCAGGCAGGAGGAGAACATGTTTAAAAGTAGTTTCCAGCATGTGCTGTCCTTCAGCCCCTTGTGCTTGTCACAGGGATTCTACTCTTCCTCATACTCTGATCCATGTAAGTGCTTGGATGTGGGGACTGTCCCACTGTTGCAGGCAGGGAGTGTTTCCTGGGGTAGTGTTGTTTGGGAAGGATGGATGCCAGGGAAACGTGGATCCCTTTGCCCCACAGTGCTCTCACTCAGTGGCTCCAGAGTTGAGGTGGGGAAGGCCGCTTGGAACCACATTGGCCTGGCTTTTCCTGATGGATTGATTCCTGACTTGTGTTTGGAGCATCTCCTATAAGCCAGATACCGTGTGTGTGTGGCAATTGATTGGGATCCCCTGACTCCAATGATGGGTACCTCATTCCTTAAGGATATACTGGGAAAGGCAGCCCCAGAGCTCTGGGCTTGAGAAAACCCATGGGAAGGACTTTGTGGGAGTTGCTCCTTGTGGATGCTGAGAGGAGGCATTATTCCCATTGGTGCACACTGGGATGTGCTGGAGGCCTTGCAGCGCTGAGCTCCTTTTGCCACTCTGTACCTGGGGTACATTCTGGGGTTAGGTTTGGTTTTTGGTTTAGGTAACTTTGTGGCTTCTTGGTGGTTTTAAACCGGGTTATGGCACCTGTGGGTTTTAACTGCATAGAGCTCAAGAGACAAGTTGTACTGCACAAGGTGAGACCCAGACATTGCTGGGGCTCCTCTTCACATGGAGGACCACTCCTGCCAAGTTGAGAAGAGGTGGATTATTCAACCACTGGTGTTCTCTCTTGCTCCAACGCCCTCATCCTCCTCTTCAGCAGAGCCTTGCTCCTCTCTCTCCATTACTTTCCCTCTACAAAAGCAAAGGATCCGGAGTCGGGGCAGGCTCCGGTGCTGATGCTCCTGATGGTGAGAACTCGGAGGGGACTACGGCTGCACACAGGGCTATGCTCTCACTGCACAGCCACCCCTGCCTGCGCTTGCTCTGTGCCTGTAGCCGGACCCAGCGTTCACCCACGGCCACAACCAGGTAGGAGCCGCGGTGCCAGCCCCGCAGCACCCAATGCAGGGGCTCGGACACGGCTCCCTTTGTGCCGGTCCCCGCTCCCCCCCGGCGCCGCGCTCGCTCCCCGCGGGGCCGGGCCGCTCTGCCCCGCTCTGCCCCGTCCCGTCCCCTCCCACCGTGGAGCCAAGTTCAAACCGCGGGCCCCGGCGGAGCAGGACGCGGCTGCGGGGCTCCATGGTGAGTGCGGCGGCACCGCGATGGGACCCCCGGGATGGGGCTTGGGCTGATCCGGATGGGCAGGGTTCGGCTGGGAAAGGGCTTGGACCCAGTTGGAAAGGGGCTGGGAGGGGTGCGGTGGGGCTTGGAGCTGGATGGGGAGGGTTGCGGTGGGGTAAAGGTGGGAATTGGTGGGGAAGGGGCTGCTGTTGGTTGGGAAAGGGCTTGGATCTGGCTGGGATGGAGCTGGAACAGGGCTTGGACCTGGCTGATCCCAACGGGGAGAGCATTAGGTGTGCCTGGAACTGTGGCATGTGCTGAGGCTCTGGGTCCCCTTGGGTAAAAGGGGGTTTGGGACAGGATCGGTGTGGCTGGAATGAGCTGGGAACCCCAATGGGACCCTAATGGGAACCCTGGGTGATATTCCTCGTGTTTGGGGCTTGCACGAGTGCGCCGGAGCTGCTCTATCAGTAATGGTGATTTCCTTATCTCCGGTGTTTGCTGGAGGATTAGAGCCGAGGAAGAGATTAGACAGGCTCTGACATTCCTGCTCCTTCCCTGTGGGAAGCCATCTGCCTGCCCGTATCCTACTGCTGCAGGGATAGGGATGAGGGGGAAGGAATAACCCCAAATCAGCCACTGAACTTGGTGTCCCCATCCTAAGGAATGGCCAGGACTGGGATTTGCCGGCTTCATCTCTCTCTTCCCTGCATCCCTCTCATTGCTGCTGCTTCCCAGCACTCTGAGGGCAGTGGCAGCCCCCCCTGAGCCCCCATCCCGGCTGCCCATAGAGCTCCATTCAGTGCATGCTGTGCTCCCTCGTGTGCCGAGGGCTGGGAGGCCAGCGCCAGGCTCGGCTGCCCGGGAATGCTGAGCTTTCAGCTGGAATTTGGTCCCGGTTGGTTTCTAAGGCACTTCAGGGAACCCATTCCCGGTTTCCGAGTGAAATCCCACAGCCTCGTCTTCCTGGAAGAGGAGGTTTCCCCAGAGCAGCAACCCTTAGACTTTGGACAGGGTTTCCTTATGGAAGCAGCGCTCTCCTTTGGTATCCCTGAGGATTATACCCCTGGCTCAATGCTGGATCACCCCTGGGGCGAGATCCCTCTGTGGGCTTGCAGAGAGCAAAGCCAGCAGCATGGGGAGGCTCTTCCCAGCCTTTCCTGCCCTCTGGATGGGGCCCAGCACGGCTCTGCTGGAAGGCTCCTGGTGATGAAAGGAGCTGGAGCCCAGTGGGATGGGTACCGGTTGCACATGGAATTGCTCATCTCTGGGCACACCCAAGGTGACGCCTGTGTCCGTGGGTTCCCAGCCTTGCAGGGTGCTGGGTTCCACCTCCTGTTAAGCCCCTATCTCCTGCTGAGCTATGGGGAGGTGGGGAAAGGTTTCCTCAGCCTTTTGGATCCATCACTGAGTGGGATGCAGGTTGTGCAGGCCATGCAGCGGGATGCAGGTTGTACAGGCCATGCAGCGGGATGCAGGTTGTACAGGCCATGCAGCGGGATGCAGGTTGTGCAGGCCATGCAGCGGGATGCAGGTTGTGCAGGCCATGCAGCGGGATGCAGGTTGTGCAGGCCATGCAGCGGGATGCAGGTTGTGCAGGCCATGCAGCGGGATGCAGGTTGTGCAGGCCATGCAGCGGGATGCAGGTTGTGCAGGCCATGCAGCGGGATGCAGGTTGTGCAGGCCATGCAGCGGGATGCAGGTTGTGCAGGCCATGCAGCGGGATGGTTGTGCAGGCCATGCAGCGGGATGCAGGTTGTGCAGGCCATGCAGCGGGATGCAGGTTGTGCAGGCCATGCAGCGGGATGCAGGTTGTGCAGGCCATGCAGCGGGATGCAGGTTGTGCAGGCCATGCAGCGGGATGCAGGTTGTGCAGGCCATGCAGCGGGATGCAGGTTGTACAGGCCATGCAGCGGGATGCAGGTTGTGCAGGCCATGCAGCGGGATGCAGGTTGTGCAGGCCATGCAGCGGGATGAGGGTGGTGGGTTGGCAGGCCATGCAGGGGATGGGTTGGCAGGCCTGGGGGATGTGGGGGTGCAGGTTGGCAGGCCATGCAGCGGGATGCAGGTGCAGGCCATGCAGCGGGATGCAGGTTGCAGGCCATGCAGCGGGATGCAGGTTGGCAGGCCATGCAGCGGGATGAGGTTGGCAGGCCATGCAGCGGGATGCAGGTTGCAGGCCATGCAGCGGGATGCAGGTTGCAGGCCATGCAGCGGGATGCAGGTTGGCAGGCCATGCAGCGGGATGCAGGTTGGCAGGCCATGCGCGGGTGCAGGTTGCAGGCCATGCAGGGGATGGGTTGTGCAGGCCATGCAGCGGGATGCAGGTTGTACAGGCCATGCAGCGGGATGCAGGTTGCGCAGGCCATGCAGCGGGATGCAGGTTGCGCAGGCCATGCAGCGGGATGCAGGTTGCGCAGGCCATGCAGCGGGATGCAGGTTGCGCAGGCCATGCAGCGGGATGCAGGTTGCGCAGGCCATGCAGCGGGATGCAGGTTGTGCAGGCCATGCAGCGGGATGGATGGGCTCGGACTTCCACAAGGGAATGACTTCTGGCTTCTGTGAGCACAAGGCCAGTCCCAAGGGGCAGAGGTGGCTGGGCTGTTGGTGGGCCCACAGGGATGCGAGCTGGGCCCATCCCTTCCTCATTGCTCTGCTTTGGCCATAGGGATTGCATAGTTGGAAGGAGCTGAGCTGCTTCTGCCTGCCCAGACCTGACCCTGCAGGGGGAGGAGGGTCAGGGGCTGATACAGACACCAGGATGGGGCCCATAGGGAGCTGCTGGCTCCTTTCCCATGTGCATCCTTGCCCCACTGCTGTGGGGCTGCTTGGATATCCCAGCCCCACTCACTTGAGGCCGTGCTGGCTCCTCATAGCCCTGGGGTTCATCCCTGCTCCCCCAGCTTGGATGCGTGCATTGGGGTCCAGAGCTGGGGAGAGCAGGGCCTTGTCCTGCTGCTGCTGCTGCTGCCTGGGAAGCAGATCCCTGAGCCAGGGGTGAGCGTGAGCTGTGTGGGAGCTGGAAATGCTGTGGGGAGTGCAGGGAGCATCCCCATGGGGTGTGGAGAGTGCATCCCTATGGGGAGTGCAGGGAGCATCCCTATGGGGAGTGCAGAGAGCATCCCCATGGGGTGTGCAGAGAGATCCCCATTGGGTGTGCAGGGAGCATCCCCATGGGGTGTGGAGAGTGCATCCCTATGGGTTTGCAGGGAGCATCCCTATGGGGAGTGGAGAATGCATCCCTATGGGGTGTGCAGGGAGCATCCCCATGGGGTGTGGAGAGTGCATCCCTATGGGTTTACAGGGAGCATCCCTATGGGGTGTGGAGAGTGCATCCCTGTGTGGTGTGCAGGGAGCATCCCTGTGGGGTGTGCAGGGAGCATCCCTGTGGGGTGTGCAGGGAGCATCCCTGTGGGGTGTGCAGGGAGCATCCCTATGGGGTGTGCAGGGAGCATCCCTGTGGGGTGCCTGGAGCTGTTTGGATCAAGATGTGGAGGTTTGCTGGTGGGAACCAGACGGTTCCTGACCTCCAGCCCCTCTCCAGTGAGCAGGGCTCATCCATTTCCATTCCTTTTGATTCCTGCTGGTTGGGGGTCTGGAAATGGACTCATAGCATAATCACGGTTGGAAAGGACCTGAAGATGCCCCAAGCTGTGGAGCTGCTGGGAACCCTGCTGGGGTCGAGAGCAGGGGGGATAGATCCTATAGACCTGTAAGGATCCTGGCACAGCTCTGTGCCAAGAACCTGACTGATGGCAGCAGAGAGCTCGGTGTGTGCCATGGGTATGGACTGGGATGAGGCTTTCCTCAAGCCTGAGCCCCATCCTGCATCTTCAGGGCCAGGGGATGGGTCAATGGGGGCTGTGTCAAGGGGATGGAGGCAGAGCCCGGCGCATCCCTGGCTGCCAGCGAGCCCTTCCCTGCACAGCTTTCCCCCCGGGCGCTCTCCTGTGCTGTGGTGCTGCTCCTGCTCCTCCCGGTGCTGAGCAGAGGCAGGAGGTGCAGCATCGCCAGGATCCTCCGGCAGTACCGCGCCGTCATCATCCACGAGATCCACAACCTGGTGAGTGTGCTCTGGGGATGCCGAGCTCGATGCGACCCTATGGGACAGCACAGCTGGGCACAGCACTGTTTAAATGGGGGGTTCCTGCCCCACGTTGGAGGCATTGATGCTTTGGGATGCCTGATGATGCTTTATGTCTCCAGAAAACCCTGAGCGGGTCGGTGGACAGGAGCGCAAGGGCTGGCCCGGCTTGTCGCTCGGATAAGGTGAGCATTGATCGGCATCGTGGGTGCTCAGCCCCCCTCCATCCATTGATTCCCCTTCCCCATGGTGTCTCCTGTCTTCCAGGACCAGAAGATCCTGTTCTCCATCTACAACATCACCATGGCCCTATGGGAAGCGGCCTCCGGCTCCGTGCGCGGCCCCGAGGAGCTGGCGCTGTGGAAGGTGGCCAGGAACACGGAGGTGGTGTTCAGGGAGAGCTGCAGGAGCATCCGCAAGGTGGGAGCTCGGCCCCTTCCCAGTCCCACATGGGGCTGAGCCCACCCCTGTTGTGTGCTCTCCTGGCTGCCCATGGGGAGTATCCAGGCTCCGGCTGCAGCATCCCGTGGTCCATGGGTGTGGGATGAGGATGATGGCACATCCCAGTGAGCCTGGGAGGGGAGTCCAGTAGTAGCATTATAGGACAGGCTGGTGGTGTTTTACCACCAGCTCCTAAGTGGGTTTGTTCCCCCATGCCATGGATGATGGGAATAGAGCGTTGTCCTAGAGGGATGCTCACCCAGTCCTGCTCTCATTCCTGGGCTCTCACAGGCAGGAGCTGGGATTTCTCCCTAAAGGGTTGCTCTGGGTTCTGCCGGGGAAACCCCATCCATGAGGATTCCCTATGGCAGCCAACAGCAACTCATTAACCAGTGGGGAAACCCCATGGTTCTGCTGGTTCTGGGATTCATCCTCCCCATCATCACCAGGGCAATGGGCTGAGACAAACCCTGCCTGGGCTGTGCTGGCCAGCAATGGGGACCCACGAGCACACCCTCACCATGCTCCTGTGCGGTTTGGCCCCCCCATCCTGCACCTTTGCCCATACAAACCCTATGAGTGGTGGCTTTCACCCCCTTTACTAACCCTGTGTGATGCTCCCTCTGCACGCTGTGACCGCAGAGCCCGCCGCGCATCCCGGCCCAGCCCCGGCGCAGGGGACGCAGCCGCAGGAGGAAGATGCTGCGGGAGGTCGGGAGGAAGGCTCAGAGGCTGCTGACCTGCTGGGAGAAGCTCTATGCCCTGCACGCCCCGCACCAGGTACCCCGGGACTCATAGGGATGCTCTCGCCATGGGCCGGAGGGATGCGCAGCTGCCGGTGGCTGGTTTGGAAACCTGGGGCACATTCAATGCTGAAGGCAGCGGAGATGTTGAATTCATCCATTCATGTTCAAGTGGTACCCAAGGACCTGCCCCACTGCATCCCTGGCAGGTTGGTTTGCTATGGGATGGAACGCCAGGGACATGGGAAGAAGAGAGGGAAGTGCCAAAGAAAGGAGGTGAGGGTTGGATGTCAATGATGCTCCTGGCCCTGCATCTCCTGCTGCTTTCTGGGGGACAACGGTTGCTTTGGGGGCAGAAACGGGGCTGTTGCTGGATGCGGGACCACTGTGTATCCATAAGGCTCTGAGGGTGGCCAGGCTGCACTGCTGGCACACAGAGAGCAGCCAGGTGCCCACAGCGGATGGGGAAACTGAGGTTCATCACCAGGCACCCAGGGAAGGTCTGGGGAGCACCAGTGCCTGTGGATAAACAGCAAAACCCAGGGCAGATGCAGGGGCTTGAGGGCAAGGCTCACCCCATGGGATGTGCAGCACTGGAGGACCCGGTTGCTCAGCACCATGCGTGCCCTGGTACCCCCTGGTGAGCTGAGCCTGGAGGGATGCGGGGTTTGAGCTGAGGAGCATCCTCCCTTGTCACTGTGCTCTGCCGGTGCCCCAGGTGGGTCCCTGCTCCCTTCTTGGGTGGCAAACACAGTCTGGGAAGCCAGAAATAAAACCTGGAAGCCCTTTGGGTGTGTTGGTACCTCGGGCTGTGGATGGGGTTGGTGTGGTGCATCCTGTCTCTGTCTCAGTGCAGGCTCCATCCTTCACCTTTCTGCATGATGGAGGAGGCTGTTTGCCCCTGCCCCTGTTTCCTCAATCCTTTCTCCATCGGGGTGGGTGCTGCCATCACGGAACCCCAGCCTGGTTTGGGATGAAGGGACCTTAAAGCTCATCCAGTTCCACTGGAGCAGCTTGCTCCAAGCCCCTGTGTCCAACCTGGCCTTGAGCACTGCCAGGGATGGGGCAGCCACAGCTTCTCTGGGCACCCTGTGCCAGCGCCTCAGCACCCTCACAGGGAAGAGCTTCTGCCTAAGAGCTCAGCTCAGTCTCCCCTCCCTTGTCCCGGCCGTGCGTGGAGGACACGAGGTGGCAGCAGCGCGCTGCGCATCCCCGCTCCCCACTGCGGCCTCATCCATCGGCCGGGTCCCGGCTGGGTGCTCACTGGGTGCTGCTGTCCAATGGGACCCGCACCCCTGCGCCTGGGGGCTCCCAGCATCCCCATGGGAGCGGGGGATGCTCGGGGGTCTTTGCCCAATCCTTACCCCTGGGGCGGGTAGGAAGGGGCTCACCCTAGGGTTGGGAAGGGTGCAGCAGGGAGCAGGGTTTGATGGGGTAACAGAGACCCCGGTTTGGGGTGAGAGCAGGGGGTGCTGCTCTTGTGGGGTCCCTGCACCAGGATCAGGTCACAGGAGATGCTGCCTGCGTGGCATGGGGCAGGCTGCTGGAGGGGCTCACTGGGGAGCTGCAGTTCCAGTACTCGATGCCACGCTCCCTCCTCCCCGCTCCATCCTCATCCTTTGGGAACAAGCACTGCTGCCTTTTCCTCCTGTCTTTCCACAGCTTCCCCTGGAAGGTTTGCACTGGTTTAGGGTTTCTTATTCCCAGTCCTCATCCCACTCCCTGCGCCCACATATCTCACCCTACATCCCACCCGCATCCCCAAATCGCTCTATTGATGCCCGATATCCCATGGATGGGGCTGGGGATCCCATGGCGGTGTTGTGCTTTTCCAGGCTGTGCTGCAGGGCCTGGGCATAGGGGAGGTTGTGCCTGGTGTTGCTGCTTCAGCATCCGAGTGCTGGGACAAGGCATTGCCGCGCTCACCGTGAGCTTGCTGCTAACACCGGGTCTGGGGAGGGGGAAAGGGATCCCGGTGCATCTGCGGCAGGAATGAGTGCATGGAAAGGAAGGAAAGAGTGAAGGAAGAGGCAAGAGGGAGGGAGGGGGGAAGCGAGGTCGCGGCGCTGGTGGAATCACGGCGAAAACAGCCGGAAAAAGGAAACGGGCCCTGAAAAGGCAAATAAAAATAGCAGCGAGCCCAAGTGTGCAGCACATGGAGTGAGCGCATTTCCTTCGAGGGCAGCGCCGCCTGCCCCGGGGGGGCCGCTCTCATGTGGCTCCAGCAGCCGCTGCTGCCATGGTCCCCGGCCCCCCTCACAGGGCAGTGCCAGCCCCTAAGGGCCATGGGGATGCGATGAGCTCGGGCACGGTGCGAAGGCTACACACATACATATACACACATAGACATGCACACACGTGTGTTCGTGTGTGTTAGTGCAGGGGAGGATGCTATGTATGGGGTGGGGATGCGGTCACCGCGCCCTCATCCCTGTGCCGCCCATGTGCCGCGGTGATGGCCCCGGCCAGACGCAGCCGAGCGCTGAGCACAGGCGGCCCCGGCTTCCTCCCCGTGCTGCTTGTTTTGCAATCACGGCGGGGTTGGTTGATGGGGGCAGCGATGGGGATGGAGGCCCCCTACCAGGACCGGTGTCCTGCATCCCAACCCGGCTCCGGGCTGAGCTCGGAGGCAGCAGCAGCAATCAGTGCGCTGGGGGGCCGTGCTGGTGGCACGTTTCCCCCCATCATTATCCCACAGCCATCACTCTATCAGGGTGCCAGCAGCCCCCCAGGATGATGTCTGGGCGGGGGGGGGTCCTTACCCATATGAGCCCCCTGCTTTGGTCCTTGGTCCCCTGGCAGCCCCGGCGCTGGGGGCACTGGCACATGCGAGGCTGTGTCTGATGAAGCAGAGCAGCGTTTTGTTCTCTCGCATCTCCCTGCAGCATCGTAAAGCTGTTGAAAGCTCAGATTTATGGTGTGATAAACGCTAGGGGCTCTGCTGAATGTTTTACTGCTCCATCCTTTGGAGAGCAGCGGGCGGCACACCCAGCAGCATCGCTGCCCGGCTCCAGCTGCAGGACAGCGCATCCCATGGGATGGGGACGGCTGGGAGCCGTGCTGTGCCCCAGGTGGGTCCTACCCCCCCCCACGGCTATGGGATACCAGCTGCCTGAGCCTCTGTGGGCAGTGGGGCAGCGCTGACCCCGCAGCACGTCCCGGTGCTGGAGGCATCTGCAGACCAGATTGAGCAGCGCCGTGCCGGGGTGCCCGCGCCAGGATGTGCCAGCCCAGAGGAGGGATGAGCCCCGGCCCGGCTCCGGGTGCTCTCCCTCCCCGCATCCCCATCGCCTGCTCTCCCGCTGGGTGCCGCAGGCTGCTCGGCAGGAGGCTGGGAAGGGATGGGGATGCTGGATGCTGCTCCGGAGCCAGCAAGAGGGATGCAAGCCTCGGGCATGTGTGTCTATGTACATGGGTGTATGTGTGACTATATATGTGTCTATGGGTTCATATGTATGGGTGTTCATGTGTGTGTGCATGGATGTTGGCGCTGGATGAGGTCCCTTCCAACCCGAACCGTTCTATGATACACGTGTGCACACACGTCCCTGCACACGCACGGGGGCCTGCACACGGTTCCTTCCCGTGGCTGCTTCCCAATGGGGTGGCTGCAGCCCTCAATGCCACCACGGGAGCCGTTGGAGCCGGCAGGCCTCGGCATGGGGGGAAGCAGCGGGACGGGATGCCGGGCTCAGCGGGAGCGCCGGCTCGCTCGGAGGCTGGATGCTCCCGATCCCTGTCCCCGATGGTATCGCAGCATCCCGGGGCGGGCACTGGCTCCAATGGCTCTTGACACCCAGCAGGAGCCAGGCAGCGGCGAGGGGCCCGGCTGGACCCTGCTCCATGCTCGTGATGCTTCCCAACACAGGGACGCATCCACGCCAAGGGGGTGAGAAGCCGGGGGGGCTGAATTAGAGGCTGGGGGGTGTTGGGACCACGCTGCCTCCCATCACCGTGGCCCCCGGCCCCGCTGCTCAGCCCGCGGGGCCCATTGTTGGGGCTGGGGCAGGAGCGCTTTGTCAGAGCTCGGCAATGTTTTATTCTAACAATTCCCCAAAGCCAGGCCTGGATGTGATTATTGGGGGGGCGAATCCCCCAGCATCGCCCCCTCTCCTCCTGCGGCCGTGCCGGGCAGAGCGCATCCAGCCCGGCCCCCATCGCCTTGGCTTTGGGGACCCCCATCCATGCCGAGAGCCCCCTGCTCCTGTGGCCAGCGCTTGGAGGGGGGGGGGGTTTGGTTGTCCCTGGCATTGTCTCTGCAGCAGCGGGATCCGTGGCAGCGCAGGGGCAGCGGTGACTCATGGAGGGGGATGTGAATCACAGCCTTGCTCTGCGGGCAGGATGCGGCCCCGCGCTCGCCGCATGCCAGCGATGGACCGCAGGCTTTGTCCTCCGCGGGGTGGAAGCGGCTCGCTGCCCGGGGAGGGATGGGATGGGATGGGATGGGATGGGATGGGGCTGCGGCTCTTCCTCGGGGCCTCGCAGCACCCTGGGATGCTGGCACAGCTTTCCCGGCCCCAGCTTTGGGGTGGGATGAGGGTGCTGCAGGGTGTGGGTGCCTCCTGGCTCTCTCTGAGGGTCCTCGCAGTGCTGGGGCTGGATCCTCATTGCTGCTTGCTGCTGTGGTGGTGAAAATCTGGTGCATCCCTTGGGGAAATACCCTGGAGAGCCGAATGCCCAGTGAAGGTTCTCAAATCCATGCAAAATCCCTTGCTCTGGGCCGGTTCATCTTGTTCCATCTCACCCCACTGCTGCATTTCCACCCTGCAGGGAGTGGATGCTGAGCCCCCATCCCGGAGCTGAGTTTTGGGACAGGCACCATGGGTGATGCTGCTCATGGAGAGAGAAGCAGCCAGTGCTGGTGCCCTGCAGTGGTGCCATCCAGATTAGTGTCCATCAGGATGGGGACGCCCTGAGGGTGTTGTTTGTGGAATGGATGGATCCTGGGAGCAGCCAGGGCAGAGGAGGGGGTTCACAGCCACAGGGTAGGATGATGGAGGAGGGATTGGTGCCATGGTGCTGTCCTGGGTCTGCCAGCATCCTCGGAAGCTGGGCAGGGGCTGGGAGCAGGCAGCATCTCCTGCCTGCAGCTCCTTGCCAGCGATGGGGACAGAAAGGGCCGAACCCTCATCTGCAAACACACCCCAGTGCCTAAACCTGCTCCTTCATTGCCAGAGCCCCTTCCTCACTGGTGCCGCCCATCCCCGTGCTCTCAGGCCCCTCCTGGACCTTAAAATACAGCGAGTCATCGAAGCAGAGCCGCTGCGGTGGCAGGGCCAGGCAGGGCACCCGGAGCGCGGCACCGGTGAGCAGCCCAGCGAGCAGCGAGCCACCAACAGCCAGCACCAGCCCCATTGCCTGGCACAGCGCCTGCCACCCTGCCCCACGGCCCCCAAACTGTCCCATCACCACCCCCTCGGTGGCGTTGCCTCCAATGGGGGAGAGGTGGTACCCGGCGGTGACATCGGGTACCACCAGGATGGCCACGGCGCTGGCTGCGGCTCCAAGGATGCCGGGCAAGCCGTGGAGGTTGTGGATGCCGCATTGGTCCTGCAGTGAGAGCTTCCTCACCAGGAAAGGGGTGAGGAACCTGAAGCCAAGGAGGCAAATCATGGCTGAGAGGCTCCCCAAGGCCATGTCAGCCACCGCACCAATGGCCACCCCGCCGGCCAAGCTGCCGTTCTGTAGGTGGCCAGGGCTGAGCTTCCCATCCCTCTCCATCAGGCTGGAGGCCACCACGGTGGTCACGGCGCTGGCGCTCATGGCCAGCAGGGTGTTGAGGATGGCGCGGTGCTGAGCATCCCCCGGTTGGCAGAGAACAGCCACAAAGCTGGGCCAGAAAACCCAGAGGATGAGCATCCCAACCAGGGACATGAGGTCAGAGCGGGGTGTCGGGGTCTGCTTGGGGTGCACCGGCTGCTGTGCTGCCCTGAACAGAGCCTTGGACACGCCAAGGCCAAAATAGCAGGAGAAGACGTGGATGGTGATGGTGCCCCCCACATCCAAGACACGCAGATGGGTGACGATGGCCCACTCGCTGGTGAGGTAGATGGGGACTTCACACGTGGCCATGGCGAGGAGCTGGCAGGGGCTGGTCCTCCCCAGTATGGCCCCCGTGGAGATGAGCACTGTCACAGCAGCGAACTCTGCAGTGAGGATGCTGTGGAGGCCCAAGTGGACCTGGCCATGGTGGAAGCGATGGAGCAAGCCCTGCAGCAGCAGCGCCCATTGCATGGAGAAGTTGAGCAGGAGGAAGTTGTGGGTGAGGACACTGAGCCCATAGCGGGGCAGGAAGGTCAGTAAGAGCCCCAGCCCCACCACCAGCATCACCTGGATGTCCTGGAAGAAGGGGAAGATGCTGTAGAGATGGTTGGCCACCGAGCTGGCATCTTCTGCCTGCGCCGAGGGCTCATCGTAGGTGACAAAGAGGATGAAGAAGAGGAGCAGAGCAGCCTGGAAGAGCCCCAGGGAGAGGGGCAGGAGGCGGCGGGGGCTTGTGGATGGTGTCGTGGCCATCCCGGGATGGACAGGAGGGGACAGTGACCGGCAGCACTCTGAGGGTGAGCTCCACTCCCTCCGACACCAGGGGTTTTATGGCCACGGTTAATTTTTAACCAAAGATAGAAGTTTATGTGCCAGAAGAGGAGATTTCCCCCTTCCCTTCTTCAAACACAACGCCCATAAATCACCCACGTGCTCTCGTTTGGCCGCCATAAAACACGGATGATTTTGAGGAGAAACAAGAAAAACCCGCCATGGAGCAGAGAAGGACCAGGGATGCGGGTACCATGGCATGAACCCCGTTTAACCCATCCCAACAGGGATAAAACACCATTGAAACCCCCAGAGTGATGCTGGAAGCTTGGATAACCCCAACTCCCCATCTGGCTCTGCCACATCCCACCCGGAACGGCTCTGGTGTTGCCACCACCCCACTCTACCGGATGATGCCCGTTTGCTTTGCCCATCAGCTGCCTGGATCTTAGGGAGCTCCAGTCTCAGGACCCCAAAGCTCACTTTCTCCCAGGTTTGCATTGGCTTCAATGGCTGGAAAGTCATTAACAATCAAGCATAAGAGAAAAACAAAGGGCAGAGCAGCCAAGCAGCTCCCCCCAAGTTTCTGGGTTGCTGCTTTGGTGACATTTCTGCCAGTGAAATGTCTGGAAAAAAAAAAAAAAAAAAAGAGAAAAGAAAAAAAGAAATTAGGGAAAAAAAAAAAAAAAAAGAACAAGAAGAAGCCATCTCTGAGAACCACAAGAACAAAAGGCAGAGGGGTTGGTAAATATTTGTTCCAGAGAGGAGATATTTTTGTGCTGTCCCTGATCTCAACACCCCTGCCGCGGGCGCTGGCTCCGCGCCGCTCTTCGTCATTGTTAGGGGAGGATGAGGCAGGCGAGGGCGCAAAATGGGAAACAATTGTTGGATAATGTGTGCGAGGCTCCCCTGCCAACCCCTCCCCGGGCCCGTTTTCAACCCCAAGAGGCTGGAAATGAGGGCAATGGAGAGGAGGAGGAGGTGCTGTGTAAAAGGGGGGGTTCAGGAAGGGTTGTGTTGCACCCAGCGGTGCGGGGTTTAGAGGGATGGGAGCTGGGGTTGGGACTGGATGATCTTCCAGGTCCCTTCCAACGCAAGCCATTGTATGGTTCTATAGTTCTAGGTCTGCCCATAGCATGTCTCTGCCACGTGGATGGTGATGCTCACAGCAATGGATGCTCCCACAGGGATCCCTCTCCCAAGGAAACGTGGGGCTGGGGTCCCCATGGTGCTGTATGGCTTTTTCCATTGCCACCAGCATGGCTGGGTTGGGATGGGATGAGTAGACAGGATGCTCCCATTGCCATGAAGATGTTTCCAAGGGGACACCCTAGCACATTAAAACCTCTTTGGTTGACGACTGGTCACATAAAACCCAATGGTGATGCTTGGAGCAGGAAGTGCTCCCGAAATGGAAGGGCCAGGCTGCTCCTAAAGGACCGGGAGAAGCGTTTTGACCCCAGCTGAGCAAGGGAGCTGCCTGCAAAGCAAGGGCAAGGCTGCCCTCGGTGTGCCTGGTACTGGGGTGCTCAGTGCTGAGCACTCGGTGCTGTGTTCTCGCTCCCCGCCTGCATCCCCCCGGTGGCTCAGCCCTCCCCTTCCTGCTTTGGTTTGGGGCTTTTAAAGGGAGGTTAAATCAGATGCTCAAAGAGAAAGCTTTGAACAGATCGTTTACAAAGCAGAGCTTTGAAGATCTCAAGGCAATGGCCCAGCGGCCTCCTGTGAGGAGAAGGAAGAGGAAGATGCTGGAGCATCCCAGTGCTGCTGCGGAGGACAAGCATCGAGCTGGGAGGTTTGGGATGTAAAAGCCCTCCTGGATCTGACTGAGACCTCTGGCAAGGGGCAGAGATGTGGGGACACAGGAGGTTGGGGTTGGCAGGCACGATGCTGGGGCACGCACAGGGAAGCAGCAGAGCAGGGTTACAGGCTCAATGCCCGGAGATGACACAACTCCTTATCTCCTTCAGCAGGAGATAGGGAATTGCAGGCTCAGCAGGATGTCCTTGGACACGTGTGCCTTTTCCACCTGGAAAGCTTGCTCTGGCAGCACATGGGGATTTGGGATGCCCATCCAGGCTCCAGAGGAGTGGAAGCCAACAGAGGGGCTCCCTCCTGACCTGCAACCCCTCGCATCCCTCTTGCATCCCTCCTGCATCCCTTCTGCATCCATCACCTGGCTCTACTGCATCCACCACGAGGCTGAACCATATCAGCACATGGAGACTGGGACTAACCACCACCACGCTCCTGTGCCAAGCTGTTGGGTACCACATCCCCTTCCCTTAGGGAATAAGGCCATCCCGTTTAGCCTCCTTGCATCCCAATCCAGACCAGGTGCAAAGAGCAGCGATGCACCAAGCACCCCACTGCAGAGAGGGAGGGAAAACACCACCGGGATGCAGATTAAAGAGCAACCTTTATGGCACCCATAAAAGAAGGGTGAAGTTTCAAGAGGTCGCTGGGAAGGTGAAAGTCCCCCCCGGACCCAGAGCACCCCCAAGGACAGCAAATGATTAACCCCATGGCGCAGGGATGCCGTGGTCCTCACAGCAAGAACCTGGTACAGGGAGGGAGGTCCGGATCCCTCCAATAGCATTATCCAGGCATAGAGAGTTCTCTTTCGGAGCCGGGATGCAGGAAGCATCTGGCTGGGGTGGCGGGGAGGGGAGCATGGAATTCCACCCCCCACGTCCCCCTTTCACTGTGTTTTATGGCAGGAGGACTCGGGGAACCATTTTAGCCTGATCCACGCTGGGGCTGCTCGAGGAGTTCCCTGCTGAGGGCTGGATACAAAGAAAAGCTGAATTAACCGAGGGTCATATAAGGCAACAGGATCCGACAGATCCGAGCCAATATATGCTGGCAACAGCCAGTCCATGGCACTGTGAGAAAACACTCCTGCAAGCTTAACAAATCCCTATGGTCTAGAAAGTCATGTACGAGAAATTACTGATGAAGGGATCTAGTCATATCTGGATTTCCAGACGTTGGTCATGCTCCCGCCGCGTTTTGCAGGCCATATAAGTACATGGATCTGAATCCCGGGTGCTGGAGACCGGCAGGATTGTTCTGATCGTCTTGTCTGACCTCCTGCGTCAGACCAGGGCTCCCGGCGAGGAGGAGGAGGAGGAGGATGCTCAGCACAGCCGGCTGGTGGCGGTGGCCGGATCCTGCTGCTGGGATGGGATGGGGTTGGATGGAGAAGTCCGAAGGGGTGTGAGGGTTGGGAATGCCGGGGCGGCAGCGGAGCGGATGGGTGCCTTCCACTCTATGGTAATGTGCTGGTACCCCAGCAGGAGAGAGCAGGAGCTCCGGCTGCATCCCAGCAGTGCGATGGGGAGGGATTGGCATCCCTCTTCTCCCCATCACCCCCCCCCCTCCAGCTGCTTTCCTGAGCCCGGAGCACCCCAAATCTCCCCATTCCCTGCAGATCCTGCTGGAAAACCAGGCTCCACATAGAGCTACGCCTGGCTCCTGCTCCATCCCCTCTGTAGATCCCATATAAACCCTTCCTGGCGTCTAAGCGAGCACCGCGAGCGCTTTAAAAGCTCCCGTCCAGCTCCGGCCCTGTTAGGAGGTGGGCAGGGGGCCAGACCCCCCCCTTTCCCAACCGGGTCCTACTGAGGATGAATGGGGGGGGGGACGGACGGATGGGGACACACACATGCACACGACAAAGGGGAACAGACGTCACCCCGGCATCACGCGGTCCGAGTGGCCTTCTCCATCTTGTTAGCACATTGTGTAACACAACATGTGGAGGCGCTGGGACCGCACACGCATGAACTCCCTGACAGCCCAAAACCGGGGGGGGGGGGGGGGGAGAAAAAATCAAAAACCCCCAAGAAAAAAAAAAAGAGAGAAAAATTCAGAAAAAAAAAGGAAGCAATTTAAGCTTTGAATCTTTCGCTCTAAAATGTTCTCATGGCTCCGCTCAAATCTGCAGCCACAGAGGCTTTGAAGAGCGTGGTATAAGGAGTGAAACATCTGGAAAAATTAGGATTAATGAAAACATAATTCCCAAGACTAAAGGAAAGATTAATCCTGCGTTGCCACTTGTGTGTTCCACAGCTTTTCCCCAGCTCGTAACGCTGAACTTATTAAATCGCCCTGAGCTGAGTTTTCCTTTTTCTCTCTTCCCTCCCCTATTGAGCCCAATGGAAGCGACTGATGCCAAACGTAACGATAACCAACTGTGCCGAGCAGCGTGCGCACCCAGCAGCACCCACAGCCCGTGGAGCACGCTAATGGGGGTCGTGGGGTGGGGGGTCCCCGTGGGGTGGGGGTCCTGTAAGTGATTGGGGGGTCTCTGCAGTGGGGTGATGGGTGCTGTGCCCTGGTGGGGCTGCACCTGCTTTCATGTGTGGTCATGGGATGGGGTCCCATTGCCTCCTGAGATGGGGGTGATGCTGAGTTAACGAATAGGTTAATAATGTCCCTGCCCTGGTTTCAAATGATGGAGACCGAATGGTACCAAGGTGGTGGCATCTCTGCGTGGCATTTGTGTAAGGGTAACCCTGGTGCTGTGCCGTGCCCGTGCTGGCCCAACCCTCTGCTCCACAAGTGACCGTGTCTCATCGCCACAGGGCCAGGCTTAGAGCAGGACACTGGGACACACCAGCCCTGTGCCCTCTCATTGCGACTGCACCATGGTGATGGGGGCTCACGTTGGCTGAGCAGCATAGAAGATGCTCTTGGGTGATAGACTCCTTGTTCCTGTATAACACAGCAGCAAACCCCTCTTCCTTCAGGGCAGCGATGCCACCAGCGCTCAGCACACGAGTGGTCTGGGGAGGGGGGGGTCACATCCCGTTTGTCCCTGCTTTATCCCCACGGATGCTCGCTTGCAACAAGGGATGGAGCCGGGGTCGGAGCGCGCCTGTCCCCGCTCTGCAGCAGCGCCGTGCTGCTGGAGGAGAGTGAAAGAAAGCAGATCTTTCACTTCATTGCGTCTTCATCCGCCCCACGCTGGGCGCGGGGAGGCCGGGCAGTGCCAGCTCTGCCGAGCAGCCCACCGCAGCTCCGCCGGCAGCCGGAGCCGGCAAACGGCTGCCCCAGCCGGCTGCTGCAGCCCTGCGGGGACCGGGATGCTCCGGAGGAGCCCTACGGGATGGGGATGGGGAGGGGATGCGGATGCAGATGCAGAGGTTATGGGGATGGGGAGCAGCGCTCACTCTGTGAGTCCCTGTTGGTGTTTGGGTGGGCTTCCCAAAACCTCAGCTGTGGTTTGCATCCCCTCCTCATCCAGGCTGCAGCCAGCTGGGGCCAAAGGCGTATTTGCCCTATGTACAGCGTGAAAAGGGTTCGTTTGCCCCATGCAGGGGGTGAAAAGGGCTCATTTGCCCCATGCATAGGGTGAAGGAGGGGAGCAGCATGCCCTGATCAGCCCCTACAGACGGGAAGGCTCCCATGGGACGCACCAGGACCCTGCTGCCTCCTTCCCACGCTGCTCCCAGCGCTGCTGCTTGTTTTCCAGAGAGGAAACCGGGATCCCTGCTATTATTATGTTTCATGTATATATATATATATATGTATTGCCTTTATTCCCCCCAGTGCCTGTGGGGCCCAGCTGGGGGGCAGCGGTGCCGGGTGCCGGCAGGACGGCGCGGGAGGTGCCCGTTGGCTGCAGTGGGGACAATGCCGGCAGCGCTCGCGGCTGCATTGTGTGTATGAGGAGGAGATGGATGCAGGTCACATCCTGCCCCTCTTCCGATGCCCGGCACCAGGAAAAAGCTGCGCTTTGTAAATAGCAAAACAAACAACAAACTCTTCCCCCCATTTACCACCTTTCCCCCTGCCCTGAGGACAACGACGACAACAGCCCCCGCAGCACTGCAGCCACCTGCTTGGGGAAGTGATTTCTCATATAGGCAGGAAAAGGGGGTCTAATTAAACCTGGGGTCAAGAGCATAAAGGGAGAATGGAGGTTATTTAGGAGTCCTTGAGTGGGGATGGAGGGGTGGAAGAAGGATGCTCGATGGGGCTGTGGGTGCCTCCATTGGATGGTGTTTTGTTGGGCAGCCAGGGGTATTTTGGCTCTGGGGTGGGTTGCAGAGCATCATCTTCCTCCTGCTGGTGTGTCCGGTGTGCCATGAGCTGCGCACTGGATCCATGGTCACGGACATGGGTGTTCTCTATGTCAGGGATGCACTGGGGGTGTCCCCACGGGTGGAGGAATGAGCGCAGGGAGCGTCACACTCAGACCTACAAGAGCGTCCCCAGCCTTCAGCGAGATCATATGAGGTTCCTGTTTCACAAGACGGAGGATGGCATTTCCATTGTGCTCGCCGGGGATGTGTTGCAACGGGGCAGCCGCTTCCATCCTTTGTCCTCCTCCCCGCAGAGGAGGAGTCTCAGCCTCTGCCAGGGTGACCCATCACACCCTGGGCCCCCCCCTTCAGCCACCAAGTTCAGCTCCGTTGGCTGCAGAAGCCCTCCTGGTGGGTCCTGGCTGTAGGCATCACCCATATCATCAGCACTATCCGGCTCCAAAGGTGCCTCCTTGTTGGGTGCCCTTGGCCATGGGGTCCCTGCCATATGTGGGGACATTCCATGAAGGCAATGCCCATCTCAAGCCACTCCTAGCGCTGACCCCGGGGTGTTCTGGCTGCCTTTGCTGCAGGACTCCTGCTTAATTATCACAACCAGCCAACAAACGAGGGGCTGACCCCACCAAAGCCCTTGGTGCTGGCGGCAGCCCCAGCTCCCTTGGGATGATGCCGCTATTCCTGCTCCGCTCCCCTGCCTGCAGCGGGCAGCTGCCTGCTGTTAGGAAGCGCTGCAGGAACCTTCGCCCTTGGGTCGGGTGCTCCCAGCACAGACCCGCTTTCTATTCCCCAGCCAAGGCCCAGTGCTCTGAATATAAAGTAACACGGCATTGTTAGGGAAGATAATTAAACCCAAGGAGAAGTTGAGCAGCAGCTGGAAGGGTGAATTCAGAACACGCTGGGCTGCCCGTAACCCTTCGTGGGCAGGCGGGGAAGGCAGGGGAGCAGCATCCTGCATCCCAGCTCTGTGCCCGGTACCTGCGGGATAGGAAGGGGAGGTGATGGGCTCAAAGTATCCCAATACAGACCATGGGCAGGATGGGCAATGATTCCCCATGGGCAAGGGAACCAACCTATGAAACAACCCTTTGTGGGCAGGCGGGGAAGGCAGGGCAGGCAGGGGAGCAGCATCCTGCATCCCAGCTCTGTGCCCGGTACCTGCGGGATAGGAAGGGGAGGTGATGGGCTCAAAGTATCCCAATACAGACCACGGGCAGGATGGGGAATGACTCCCCATGGGCAAGGGAACCAACCTATGAAACAACATAGGGATCCTGGAGGATGTCCTAATTCCCAAATCCTCACTAAACATGCAACATGGGGACCACTCAACCCGAGTGCTTCCCACCCCCATCCCCAAAGCATCAAGTCCTTTCCACAACCACCAAACGGGACACAAAGTGCCACCCATCACACCGGGCGCATGTCCCCCTCCCTGCCACCAGCATCCCACTGCCGAGCAGGGTACCAGTGGTGCCGGGCAGGGATGGGGCCGCGTCCCCGGCCGCGGGCCTCGCTCCAGCTGGGCTCTGTTTTGTAAGGCCTCCTGGCTCTCTGCGGAGCAGAGATAAGCCCAAGAATTCGCCGTCGGTTCCAAATATCCCGTCCGCTTCCTCCCGCCGTCCCCGCCGCCGCTCCAGCCCGCTTGTCTCATTTCCGCACCAGCGCGATGGGGACAGCTTCCTGTTCCCCCCCCCCCGGGGGCGGCGGTGGGGGGCTGCGGGGAGGAAGGGCAGGACAATGGGTGCAGGCAGGGATGGGCAGCTGCCCACCTCCCTGCCTTGGGGCAAGGGGGGGTCCTCAATGGTTTGGAATAGGGTTGGGAGGAAGGGGACAGGGCAGCGGGGCTGGCAGGTGGCAGCGGTGGGGATGCGGGTATGGCTGAGCTGAGATTGCGGATGGGGTTTCTTTCATTTCCTTTTGTTGTTTCTTTTTCCTGAAGGGTTTTGCTGTAAATCAACAACACCAGCTCCCCCCCACACCCCTCAGAGCATCCTCCCTGTGCTGCCGTGGGTGATACCAGCTGGAGGAGCCCCCCCACCTTCCACTTTGCCATCACCCCGCCATGAGAATGGGGATGAAACCGGGTACCACTGCTCAGCAAAGCCCTGTGTGGTGGGGACCCTGCTCTCATGGGGAGATGAACCTCCCCACAGAGCCACTTCTTAGGGTCCCTCCATCAAACCATCCACCACAACTCCTCCCCAAGGCGCAGCGTGGGAGAGCAGCATCCCCAAGGGCCTGCCACCTCCCAGGAGCAGGGAGCTGCGATGCTGCTCCCCCATCCCAAACCACAGCAGTGGGAAAAGAGGGGTTTGCGCTGGGTCTTTGCTCGCTCTGAGCCCAGCATCCTCTGGGCTCAGGTGGGATGGACCGGTTGGCATCCCTGCATCCCTGCCTGGTTCTGGGGAGGGGAGAAGGCCGCTGCCCCCCGGCTCCTGGGCTGAGTGTGAGTGTTTACTCTCTGCCTTTCTCACCGCTCGCAGCGTGGCAGGAGTTATTCAAAGGCGGGCGGAAGCGAGCGCAGCAACTGAAACAACAATGAAAAGGAAACGGAGCTCGGAAAATTCTCCGTTCATAAATCAAGTGAACTGCAGGTGATCCCTGGGCAGCAGCGAGCCAGGGAAAAGGCATGGATCAGCACGGCCCATGGCCTGGAAGCAGGGATGGGGGTGGCTCTGGGTGATGCTGGGGTTGCGGTCCGTGTCCCTGCACATTGGGGGCTTTGGGGCAGGTGAGGTGCAAGTACCACTGCGCTGATTTATAATACCTGTGAGCAAATCTGGGTGTTAGAGGTGAAGGTGAAGCTGCTTTCTGCAGTGGGGATAGTGTCACACACACGTACATGCACATCCGTGCTGCAGCCCCGCAGAGTGGGGCCATGGAGTTATTGTGGTGCTCAACAGGATGCAGAGCAGCCCACCGGCTCTTTTTACCTCCCCTGCAGCTTCACGCCTGCTTTTTGGGGTGAAACACATCACTTTGGAAGCAGAGGATGCAGGTGAGCGTGGATCCAGTCGGTGTCCATGCCATGGGGATGTTGGGGTTAATGGGAGATGATCCAGGGCTCTCGGCAGCATCGGGCCATGGCTCCTTGCTGGGATCTCATAAAGTCTTTTTCCTCCTTAGGAAAAGGAGCTGCTGTCTTGGGACGGTCTCCTCTGTGCTGGCAGCATCCCTGCATGGGCACGGATGGAAAAATCTTCCCCCCTCCGCGCCAGGTCCTGCAGCATCTTGCTGCTGGTGAGACGGGGACCAGTTTGGACCAGGCATCCCCTCCTCACTGCCCCTCTTTGCCAGCCCCTGTGAGCTGAGCCCCGACCTCAGGGACACCAAAAAGCAGCTCCATGAATGTGGGATGGGACCCAAGGACCAGGCTGGTGGCAGCAGGCTGAGACTTACAGCAGAGGGAAGGATCTGGTCGTGATCCCTGTGCTGGGAAAGCCGGGTGGGATCGCATGTCCCCCTCTGCCTCTCTGCGTCCCCCCTTCCGCGCGTTCCCTGTCATCTTGTCTTTCAGCAGAGCTGGAAAACCGGGGGACCACCGTAAATAAACCCTGTGTCTTTAAGGCGTTTTGTACAGTACAAGAAAATGCACTCGTTGAATTACAGCTTTTTAATCAAATACATGTAACCATGTCACTTAAAGTGCTCGCGAAAAGCAGCGAGAAAAAAAAAAACCCAACACAATTGGAAGAGCACAAGATTGAAACCAGCTGCTCCCTTACCCCCACCACAGTTAATAGTTTTTGAATGTTCTGAATGAGAGAGAAACCAGAGCCAAGCTCCACTTTCATGTCCATCTTTCTGATCAAACCCTGTCAGACGGGGGGAGCCGGGCAGCCTGGCACAGAGGCGGGGGATGCGGGAGGGCTGCGCTCGCCTCTCCTGGTCCCCTGGGTTTTCCCTTTGTGGTGATGGGGATGGAGGAGCCCGGGGTTCTTCCTGCAGGCAAAGCAAGCAGCAGGAGGGCTGGAGATACAAGCACAGGTTGCCCAAGCCCTGCGGTGTGAGGGATGCTGCCTTAGGACATCACCATCGTGTTGCATGTGTCCCCCCAGCCAAGCTTAACCCAACTCCATCATCCTTACGCTTCTTCCTCTGAGTTGGCATCACCGCTCATCCCCCGTGGTGCCCGCATCATGCCACATCCCCGTGCCCCATTCCCTTAGGAAACACACATGTTGGGACCACCTCAACGCCTACCTCCGGCCTCGCTGGCCACCGACCCCTTCCAGCACAGCCTGCCAACCACCCCGAGCTGTGCGGTTCCCCCGTAACGTGGACCAACGCTCATTAAGCGTGAAGCAGAGACCACCAAATATGTCAAAACACACTTAAAATTTATTGTTTCATACCATACGTTTGAGTCTCTTGAACGCTGGCCAGTGTTTCTCCCTCTCTGCAATGGGGCCTATCTGCTGTCACCGGCGCTCCGCATGGATGGTGAGCCCCGCTCGCTTGCTGCCTGTTCTTTTCATTCTCTCTCCCTCTCTCCCCCTTCTTTCTTTAAATGAAAAATACAAACAATTGATGGAAAATGTACATTCGTTCCATATGGGGACGGTCGGAGCGTGGAGAGGAGCCAGCAGAGTCATTTTTAGGCAGACTCCTCGCTCCAGCGGATGGCTGGATGGCTTCCCAGAACGGCCCCGCGCGGCCTGGCCTGACTCTCCTGACGAGCCTCAGACAGTCTGTGACGCTCCCGCGCTGGTGGGGGGGACATGATTCAGTTCCCTGCAGGGATCGACCCCCCCTGGGGCTGCTGAGTGCAGGAGGAGGGAGAGCTTTCCACTGGGAATGTCCCAGAAGGGCTGTGCGGGAGGTGATGGGAAGACTTGCTCTGCGGGAGAGGTTGGGTTAGGATGGTTGGATTGGGTGACATAGGCTATGTTGAGTTGGTTGAGTTGTGTTGGGTTAGGTTGGGGTAGGTTGGTTGTGTTGGGTGGGTTGGGTTACGTAGGCTACGTTGAGTTGGTTGTGTTGGGTTAGGTTGGGGTAGGTTGGTTGTGTTGGGTGGGTTGGGTTACGTAGGCTGCATTGAGTTGGTTGGGTTGTGTTGGGTTAGGATGGGGTAGTTTGGTTGTGTTGGGTTATGTAGGCTGTGTTGAGTTGGTTGGGTTGTGTTGGGTTAGGATGGGGTAGGTTGGTTGTGTTGGGTGGGTTGGGTTACGTAGGCTGCGTTGAGTTGGTTGGGTTGTGTTGGGTTAGGATGGGGTAGGTTGGTTGGGTTGTGTTGGGTGAGATCAGTTAGGAGGGGTTGGATCGGTTAGGATGGATTGGGTTGGTTAGGATGGGTGGGGTTGACTGCGGTTGGGTTGGTTTATTTTGGGTTGGGTTATACTGGGTTGTGCTGGCTTGGGTAGGGTTATTTTGCGTTGTGCTGGTTGTATTGGGGTAGGTTGTGTTGTATTGGTTATATTGGTTGTGTTGAACTGGGTTGGGTTTGGTGACCTCTGGAGAGCACTCCCAACCCTTCCATGACACTTTGACCATACAGCATTGCTGGCTGAGCTCAGAAGAGGAGCACAAAGTGGCTCTGATGGATGCCTGTGGGGCTCAGCTCTGCTGAGAGCCCCAGACTCCCCCATGACCCATGCAATGAGAACCAAACCTGCCTCTTATGACCTGAAGGGGACCCAGCACAGTGCTGGGTGAGAGGATGGATGATGTGGGGCTAGGGGATGGTGGTGACCACAAGGCAGAGGGGGGAACGTGATGGAGGTGATGCCGGGAGCTGGGGGAGCACAGCTGGATCTCCACCGGTGATGGAGAGGCTGAACTTCACCGTAAGGATAAAGGAGTTCCAGGCTGTGCATCCTTCCCAGGGCACATCAGGGATTCTTCACTGGCTCATGTTCTCTCCCTGTCCCCAAACCTGTGTTATTTACGATACCACAGCCCAAGGTCGCAGCAGGGCTTTACCCTCCTCTGCCTGCAGCAGTGCTGGAGCAGTGCTCGGCATTCCTGCCCGCGGCTGGGAAACTGCTCCGGAGCAGAGCTGAGGAGAGCATCCATCATCACCTCGCGCTCCTCTGCCACCCGGCTGGCTGCTTGGGGCACGGCCACCGAGGAAATGGAGCCTTTCCTGTCCTGTGAGGAGCACTGGGATTTTCAGACATTTCCTTTCCCAAACTGGGCTGCAATAAAGAAAGTTGGGGAAGGTTTGGGAAGTTTTCCGCTGCTCGGGAAGGAAAGGTTGTGCTGGGAACGTTGGGAACCGCTTTTCACATTTCAACCTTTTCCCTTTGGTTAACCCCTGCGCCATGTAATGCCGTTACATCTCCAAACGGATTGCCTCCCAGCTAAAAAAACCTGGAAAGTTTTTTTGGTTTTGTTTTTTTTTTTTTCCAATGCTCTTTTTCTCGAGTCAGGAAATGTTTTGGAGCCGTTTCCCACAAACAGGTTTGGTTTTGATAAATCCTTTTGTGGTGGAAGACGAGGGGAAAAATAATCCCATCGCCAGCTCCAGAGCAGCTGCCTGGTGGGGAACCAGCACCGGCAGCATCGCCCCGTTCCCACCAAGCTCCCCACCGCAGGGACATGTGGCGGTGAGCACCCAAAATACATGGATCGAGAGGCTCAGATTCCCCCTTAACATCTCCAGATCCCAGCTGGGATGACTTCATCGGGGCTGCGTGTCCATGGGCGCATGTCGGCATTCCCATCGCTCCGGTGTGCTCCGGGACAGGACGGCTCCGGCTGCCCCAGAGCCTCGGAGCGGCGTATCGCCGGCTGGCACATGCTGTTTTAATATGGGGGTGATGTCATCGAGCACTCCATAATGCCATAAAACCCCCAGAACGTCTATAAACCTGAGCAGTGAACCTCCAGCAGAACACACACGTGCGCGGGTGATACACACACGTGTGCATGCGCACAGATGTGCACACACACATGCATGCAGAGATGCACACGGACATGGATGCAGGCATGTATGCATGGAGATGCACACACAGATGCACACACACACACATTGATGCACATGCACACGTGTATACACTTATGTGCATGTACATGGATACACATAGATGCACAAGGCACACTCAGATGCATGCACATTGGTACCCAGGGATGTGCAAGCATGCACACCAATGCACGCACACAATGATACATGCACACACACAGATGTGCACATGTGGATACACACAAAGGCATGCACTCAAGCGCGTTTGCACATGGACACATTGGGATGCACACACATGGATGCACACACACACACTCAGATGCATGCACATTGGTACCTAGGGATGTGCAAGCACGCAGACCAGTGCATGCACACATGGATGCACACAATGGTACGTATACACACACAGATGCACACACATGGATACACACAAAGGCGTGCACTCAAACACGTTTGCACATGGACACATTGGGATGCACACACATGGATGCACACACACACACTCTTCATGCCACCCAACCCTCTCCTTGGTGTACCCGGCATCAGCGTCACTCATGCATGTGGGGACCTCTGCAGAAGCAGCCCCAGTGTGTGGAGCAGGGAGCCCCTGAGGGATGCACAGCCCCACATCCCCAGGGAACACGGAGCAGATGGACCTTCCCAGGTCAGCATCTCCCCCTCTCCCTGCCCCACAGCCACCCGGGGAAGCGGCAGGATGGGCCTGTCAGGGTCTACATATACCTGTCAAATCCCTTCTCCATATTTCTGCCATAACGACCTGCTAAAAGCCCCTCGCTCCTCCTCCCCGGTCCAAAACCATCAGGCCTGGAGCTTTGGAGAGATTAAGTCATAAAAATCGGAAGGGGCTGTGCAGTAACAGCCCCGGCCTGAGCCATAACGGCAGTGAAATCATCCCCAAACTATTCCAGCCCGTCCATTTCCAGCCCCACGTCACACCTGAGCCACCGCTGGCGGATGGTTTCCTGGCCCCAGCGCAGCCACAGGGGATGGAGGCAGGGGAAGGAGGTGATGTTGGGAGCACAGAAGTGCTCCTGGAGCTCAGGGCTTCCCGGCTGTGCCTGGTCCCAGTGCCTGAGCAGAGCAGGATGTATCCCAATGGGCACAGGGGTTGCGGAGCTCCCATGGGCATGGCTGGGGCTGCTTGTTGCATCCCATCCCCAGTGGCTTTCCTGACCTGTGGTTTGGATTAAGTGACCTCGGGCTGAGCAAAACCACAGAATAGCCAAAGTTAAGGGAAACTGGGAGGTGAGCAATTAGCATCAAACCAAACCCAGCTAATGAGTGCTGTGGTTAAAGCTCGTCAAGGACTCAGCACCCTTCCATGCTCTGCCCTGCTCTCTGCCTGCCTGATGGAGCTGGGTCAACCACCCAGTCCAAGCTTGGCTTTGGAGAGGGCTAAATCCTGCTCTGGCCATGGATAAAACGTGATGGAGCATCTCTGATGCCATGGGAAGGTGCCTGCCCAAACCCAGTGCCACTCACACACACTGCCATCCCAGAGGAACAGCCCTGGATTGGTACCCTTGACAGCAAATTTGGTGTCGAAACAGCAATTTTAGGTGAAAAAGGCTGAAAAAGGCCCAGTGCAACACCGAGCAAAGGGAGGAGGCGGCGTGTCCCGGGCCTGGCACAGGTCCTTCTGCCTGCTGTTATCTGACCCAAACCCATGCTCCTGTTTTCTTCCTCTCTCCTTTCCCTTCTTTCTCATTCCCCGTGACCTGGGGTAGGGCTGGCCAGTGAGACGGGGCAGCCACACATTGTTCGCAGCCTCAGTCGCAATTAGGCTTTATTATTAATGAAAACACCCAGGGCTGGGTTAGGCAGGAGGGTTGGCAGGGCCCTGCCTGCTTTTGTGTAGATGCAAGCCAAGGCTTTGGTAGCAGAGCCGTGAGATGTTGGAGTGATACAGACCCAAATCTGCTGCTGGGTCTTGGTGACCTGTGGATGGATGGGCACAGCAGGACCCAGCACTGCTCAGTGCTTTCACAGTGACTCAGCAGCAGTGGTTTCAATCTGATGCATCCCTGGTGTGCTTATGGATGGGAGCGAGCATCCATCACCAGTCTTCAGTCTGGTGCCAGACCTAGCTCCATGGAAGCATCATAGAATCATGGAATGGTTTGGGTTGGAAGGGTCTTAAAGCTCATTGTCCCAAGGGCAGGGACCCCTTCCACTGGAGCAGCTTGCTCCAAGCCCCTGTGTCCAACCTGGCCTTGAGCACTGCCAGGGATGGGGCAGCCACAGCTTCTCTGGGCACCCTGGGCCAGCACCTTCATAATGAAGAGGCCCCTGATCCCCTCGCATCCCCATGGCAAGGTTAGATTCCAAGCTTGCAGCTTAAGTACTTTGGGAAAGCTCCTGCTCATTCCCAACCATGCTGCTGGCGCCGTCAAGCACCCAAACTCAGGACACACTGTACCAGAGCGAGGAACCACAGCCAAAAAGGCACCCCAAGGATTTCTAGCCGTGCTCTGAGATCAGAGGCGAGCTGGCACAGCCGGAGCCATGGGGAAAGAAGGGAATTTCTAAGGCAGAAAAATGACCTAACGTTTCCTCTGTGATGTGATCCCCAGCACGGCAGGGCAGCTGGGCGAGTGCATCGCTCCTTTGAACAGCAGGAAGTGATCGCATCCTCCTCGGGAAGGTACCTGGAAGCTGATGATGGAGAGGGGGGGGGATGAAGCTGGAAAACAAGTCAGAGCTTTCTTGTCCCCAATCTCCTTCCTCCCAGGCCGCTACGGGGATGGAGCCTATAGACGGCTGCTTCCTTTCATAGTCATCGGCGGCGGCACAGGATGCTTCTCATTTGGTGTTGTGTTTGTTTGCTGCAGCGCGGGGTTCTGGCACCCGCCGGGCGCCCGCCAGCCCTCCCGTGTAGGTAGTGAGGTCATTTTTCCATGTATTCCCCCTTTTTACATACTGTATATGGAAAGACAATGAAGCGCCTTTCTGGCGTTTAATGGGAACGCGCCGCCAGCCCCCGGAGTTGGTCCCGGTTATTGGTGCTTCACATGAAACAACAACACCCCCCCCAAAAAGAAGTGAGTCAGGATTTAGTCGTGTTAACACTAATGTGAATTTAATTTAGGAGAAGCTTGAAAATTAATGTCATTTGTTAAATATCCATTTCCCCTAAAAGGCAATTCTTTGCCAACAACAACAGCAAAAAACCCTCTTCTTCTATTCAATTTGATGGGGGGGGGGAGTTGTTAAACAGCCTTTTTTGGTGATATCAGCCTGGTTTAAATCACTCAGCGTTCAAGGAACGGATGCCACCAGGCTTTTATGCAACAGATTGTCATTGCTCCTCTGCAAATGGGACAGAAACATAGCCGTGCATCATAAAATGATTCATGGGAATGGGACAAAGCGCCGGTGGCTCCAAGCTGAGTCCAACAGGGCACGGTGACCTCTTGGCAAGACCCGTGGAAGCAGCCACTGAGTGAGGTTGGAAGGGCTCCGGCACAATGGGTTTTATTGCAGCTGCTAGGAATAGGAGTGAAGGTGTTGGAGGAGCCCGCCTCAGTTTTGGGGGTGTTTCAGCACTGGTTTAAGTGCCAAACCCAGGGCAATGGGATACTGGGATGAGCCATGGGGACCCCGCGCTGCCAGCTTGGCAAAAGAACCACACCGAGGCCGTTTTCCGAGGCGGATATCGCATGTTTTATTGTGTTTCGATGTGGGAACAGCAGCTTTTCCTGCAGAGCACATCTCCAAGGAAAGAGGGGGGGGGACGGGACGGGACCATCAGCATCACCCCATCCCGCTGCCGGCGCTCCGGAGCCGAGCAGAGCCGTGCTCCCCAAGGCCAAGGCGGCTGCCGGAGCGGGCAGGCGGCAGCCTGGAGATTAATCCATTTGCCAGGTTGTCAGAGCATTAATCAACGGATACAGCAATCTGGAACCGGTTGGGACAACATGGATTTGCGGAAAATATGTGTTCACACAACAAGCACACAAGATGGGAGCAATTAGATGAAGATGTTTTAATAATTAACCAGTATAAAACAGTTTGCTCTCCATACAAGAAAAAGTGTTTGCAGTCGTAGTTCCCTTTTGTACAAAAATTCCAGTCGATTGTTCCACAATATTTACATTGATATTCCCTTTTCCACAAAATATCTCCTTTTTTTTTTCTTTCTCCCCCTTTTTCCCCCTTTTCCCCTTTCGTTTTTTCCCCTTTTTAAATCCAGCTTTGCTACATAAATGCTTTAGATCTCATGGATATCCCTTGATTTCTTTTGAAAAAGTCTAATAAAAAACCAACCCCGACACCCCAAAAGACATTAAATACCATTTTATATATAAAAATGCTTAGTAAAAATATACTTTTGTTGCCCAATTAAAATATATTGCTGAGAATACAGTAAAAACTGTCCTAAAGCCCACCCCTAACGGGCGCCGACCCTTTAATGGCCCCAGCAAAGTCTTCCTAAAAGTGATGGTTTTCCCCTCCCTCCACAAGTTTTCCTGCCCTTGGGTTAAATATCGGGAGCAGATCGCTTCGGCTCATGCTGGTGGTGGTTGTTTCAGGCAGGATTCATTGGAATTGGCTTAAAAATGCCCCTTGGAGCTGGTAGGAGCTACAGGTACGCCCTGCCGAGGGCTGGAGCGGGATGCGGGAAGGCAGGCGAGTGCTTGGGAAAGGCGTCTATCTGTGTTATATAGTTATATGGTATATCAGTGAGTTCAGCATGGAGTTTTGTCTTAAAAAAACCCATAAAAAATAGGAATAAAATTTAAAAGAGAAGGAAAAGAACCAAAAAGAAAGCGATGCATTTAATGAGATACTCTAAATATGATGGAGCTCGTGGTTAAAGGAGGATGGCTTTTTGTTTCTAGAGGAGAGTCGGGCCTCTCCATTGCGAGCATCGGGTGGTGGGGCCAACCTAACCGGTGATGCATGGGCTATAGTAGACAGCGCTGCTGGCATCGGACAAGGCAGATATCAAGCTGCTCTCCTCGCAGGAGATGCTTCTAGGAGTCACTTTGGACAGGGAGACATGGTAAGGGAGTCCCGAGGCTTCGGGACGAGTCCTGCTCATGTTCAAATACTGGTCAAACTCATTGCGGTCAACGTCTGTCCACAGCTCGGTTTGGTTCAAGTGATCCACGCTCTCCATGTGATGGGCTTCAGGAGGGGGTGAGAGCTGGCCCAGGTGGGCAGAAAGCCCGTTCTGAGTTCCCGAGCACATCTGGTTGTAGTATATGCTGGAAGGATGGGGAGTCCTCATGGCGTCGGCCAAGTGCGAAGGGGTCTGCGCGTAGGGCACCGCCACGTCCCGCCCCATGCACTTCTCCTGGGGAAACTCCATCTGGTGATGGTGGTGGTAGCCGCGAAAGGGCATCATGTTGCAGTCATCCTGCATGTGCGGAGGGAAAAACGCCGGCTCGGTCTGTTCCAAGACATCCAAGGGAGACATCTCAGGAGTTGGCAAGCCATAGTTTTCAATATCCGACCCCATGGAGTGGAGTTCTCTGAAGTGGTTAAGTGGGGGAGGCTGGGGGTGGCCCGGCTGGCTGCCACCGTGGTGACTCATGCTGAAGTTGTCACTGCAAGGCTGGGAAAGGTTATGCAGGAGGATATTGGGTTCCATCCTCTTGATTTTCTTGGCTTGCTTCTTTCTCCTTGGGCGGTACTTGTAGTTGGGGTGATCCTGGAGGTGCTGGATGCGCAGCCGCTCGGCCTCTTCCACGAAGGGACGCTTGTCGCTGGCGCTCAGCGCTTTCCATGACTGGCCTGGAAGGGGAAAGCAAAGCTCTCGTCACGTCAGCTCGGCCACCCGCTGCTGGTCGGGGCATGGGCATCAGGGCACATGGAGACATTGGGGTGGGAAGGGCTCCCTTGGGCAATGCAACACCTCAATGGGGTCCTGGTGCTGGCACAAGGAATGGGAACCCAACAGGACTGTCCCCATGTCCCCATGTCAGGCTCAGCACTGCAGCAGAGCAGAATGGGGGTTCAAAGCCAGGGCTGGGGATCCTGCATCCTGCTGCCCCTCAGCACAGCCTGGTCCCTGATGTGCCTGATTCCCTGCATCCCTCATCCACAGCCCCGCACCTCTGCAGCCGCAATCGCCCATTCCCAAACCCCGCAGTCCCGTATCCTGAATCCCTGCAGCCCTGTGTCTCTGCATCCTGCTGCCGTATCCTGCTTCCCGTAGTCCCGCATCCTGCAACTCCGTCTACCCATATCCTGCTTCCCGTGTTCCCACATCCCGCATCCTACAGTTGTGTATCCCGCATCCTGCAGCCTTGTATTCCCATATCCTGCATCCTCACAGCTGTGTACCCCACAGCCCTGTATTCTGCATCTCGCAGCCCTGTTTCACTGTGTTTTGCATACAGGCAGCTCTGTATCCTCACAGCCTCATATTCCCATGTCCTCTAACACCATATCCCACAGCCCTGTAGCACTGCACTCTACAATCCTCGATTTCAAAGCCCCGAACCCTTATATCCCACATCCCTGCATCCATGCCTCCCTTCATCCCGTATCCCTACAGCTCACATCCCGCAGCTCTCTAACTTTGCAGCCCACAGCCCTGTATCTCACGGCACTCGATCTGCACACCCCGCAGCACCCCATCCTTGTGACCCAGCCTCTGCACCCCTGTATCCTCACATCCTGCATCCTGTAGCCCCGTATCCTTGCAGCCTGCATCCCGCAATCCTGTACCCTTGCACCCCAGCAGGCGCAGCCCCATATCCTTGTATCCTGTGCCCCGCTGCCTCAAATCCTCTCAGCCTGCATCCCGCAGCCCTGTACCCTTGCAGTGTACATCCCAATGCCCTGTACTCCTTCCTCCTGTGCTCACAGCCCTCTATCCCCGCATCCCAACATCCTGTACCCCTGCAACTCACATCCCCAACTCCGTATCCCTGAATCCCAGCATCCTGTAACTCTGCAGTGTATATCCCCAGCCCTGTAACTCTGCATTCCACTGCCCCATACCCCTGTAGCCCACATCTGAAGCCCTATATCCCTGCATCCTGCTGCCCTGGATCGCTGCAGCCAACATTTGCAGTCCCACAACCACCTATCCCTTCATTCCCAGCCCTGTACCCCCACATTCCTGCCTCCTCAGCTCCATACCTCTGCATCCCAGAGCCCTGTACTCTTGCAGCCCACATTCCCATCCCTATAACCCTGCATCCCTAGCTCTGTACCCCCATATCCTGCATACTCTTGCAGCCTGCAACCCCAGTCCCGTAACTTCACATCCCATTGTCCTTAGCTCAATACCCCCATATCCTGCAGCACTACTCTTGTCGCTGGCATCCCCAACCCCATATCCCCACATCCCTAGCTCTGCATCCCACCTCTCTACTCTTGCAGCCCACATCTCCAGACCCTTACCCCGCATCCCCAATCCCATATCCCCGCATCCCTGCTTCCGTACCCCCGCATCCCGCAACCTTCCGCTCCCAGCCTCGTCCCTTCGCATCCCCGCATCCCTAACTCCACACCCCCCTCACCCCACACCCCTGCCCTCCTCCCGCAGCCCTCCCCGCTCACCCAGCATCTTGCTGAGCACGGCGTTGTGCAGGTCGGGGTTCTGCTGCGCCAGCCGCTTGCGCTCATCCTTCGCCCAGACCATGAAGGCGTTCATGGGCCGGCGGATGCGGGAGTCCTCTCCGGCCTTGCCCTCGGCGCGGCCCGCCGGGGGGCTGTATCCATAGCCCGGCTCGGGGCTGGGCGAGCGGCTCGGGGCCGCGCCGGGGGCCGCACCGGGGGCCGCGCCGCCGGGGCCGGAGCCGAAGGCGAAGCCGGGCTCGGGGCTGGGCGTGCGGCTGGCGGGGGACGCGGCTCCCGGGGGGCGAGGGAAGGCGAGCCCGGGCTCAGCGGCCGGCACGGCGGCGGTGACCCATGAACAGTCGCCCCGGGGTTGCGATATCTCCTCTCGGCAGTAGTTAGACTCAGATATATTCATTCCAGCTGGACAGCACTTTGTGTCCGACCCGACCGGGTGCCGGAGAAAGAACCGGGTCCCGCCGCGTCCCACCGGGTCCAGCAGCCGCCGCGCAGCAGCCCCTCCGCTCGCCGCCCTCGCCTGCGCTCCGAGGGGAAGCCTGCGCTCGCTCGCTTTGTTTTGGTTTCTTTTCTTGGGGGTTTTTTGGTTTTCCTCTTTTATTTTTATTATTTTTCTTTTCCCCCCTTTTTTCCCCCCCAAAAAAAAAAAACTTTTGGGATGATGTTGGGCTGGAAGGGGCAAAATATAGCAGGGCTGGACCAATCAGCGGCGAGGAGGGGAGGAGGAGGAGGAGGAGGACGAGAGGGAGAGGAGGAGGAGGAGGAGGAGATGAGGGGGAGGAGGAGGAGGAAGGGGGGCGTCCCCAGGCACCAGCAGGAAGAGCCACCCGGGGAGGGCCGGGCTGGGACCGGTGTGGACGCTCCTGCCCTTCTCCCTTCCTCCCAAGACGAGGGCTGCTCGTGTTCTCTCTCTGCCTTCTTTCCTTTCTCTCCTTTCCCTTCTTTCCCGGCTGGCTGCGACCCCCGGAGCCGAGGCAGGGAAGAGTTTGGATTCGCCTGCCGGGCTGTTTGCAAGCGGACAGGGATGCTGGGGGCTCGGAGCTGAGTTCCCTTAAGCTTTATCTCGTGTGTGTGTGTGTTTTGGCCGGCATTCCCTGCCCGGGGTCGGGAGCAGCCCTGGGGTGAAGCAGGGGCAAACGCTCTTCCCCTGGCATTTTCTGGTGGGAATTCCAGTGCCGGGATGGGGAGAAACTGCTCCTTTTGAGCACTGTTTGTATGGAAAGACATGTATTTCCAGCCTGTCAGCTGAAGGACTTGGGGAATTGGGGGTGATAGCGCTAAAACCTGAGCTGTGCTGCTGGGGCTGACATGGCCATGCCATTGCCACACAAGTTGTAGGGCACAGCAGCATCCCTGTGGCATTGCAGCATCCCTGCGGCATTGCAGCATCCCTACGGCATGCTGCCATCGGCAGGCGGGTTATCGTGCCACGGCTGCATCCCCATGGCACAGCAGCATCCCTACGGCACGCTGCCATCAGGAAGGCACCAGTGCCAAGCATCAGGCTCGGTGGTCTGAAGATCCTTCCTGCTCTTGGCACTGAGGAGTTATGATCCCTGCAGGGCCCGTTTGCAAGCAGAGCTGTGCTCACACAACACCCTGGCTCCCTGACACCCCCTCCAGGCCATCGGGTTGATGTGGGAAGGATGCCCCAGCCCTGGGTATCTGCTCCAAGCCCCCCTGGGCTATGAACATACCCAAGCCCCGAGCCCAAAATGTGACCCTCAGCATTAGGAAGACTTGGGGCACGGGGTTGCGCAAGCGCCCGGCTCGCAGCCTCCTTGCAGCGGTGGGGTATTGCATGCCATGGTTTCTGTGTGTCTGGAAGTGATTTGGAGAAGCCGATCACTGTTAACCCTGAGCAAAACAAAGGCCTTCCTTGCAAAAAGAAACACAAATACCAAAGCCTCGTCTCGCTTGTTCCTCAAGCGCTATCCGGGAGCGGCGGAGGCTTCGGGATGGGTTCCCTTCACCTTCCTGCAGCCTCTTGTTAATGTTGTGCAAGAGCAAATCAGCACCAGTCCATGGGAGAGCCCGTGCGGCTGCAGCAGCCTCCTCTCTGCTCTCCCCATCTTCCAGGGAGCCGGAGCATCGCTGTCCCGGGGATGCTGGAGGCTTTGGCTCTTTGCCCCTGCCTTAGGGAGCAGCAAGGTGGGTGCTAGGGGGAGATGGGGGTCCCCAGGACAGGGCTTGTGGCTGCTTGTGGGGTGAAGTGAGCAGCATCGGGGCAGTCACTGTGGGAAGCTGCTGGGGATAGACCAGGATTATCCCACTGCTGCCAGTCCTGGTCCTTCTCCCTGGTCACATCCACCCCGCGGCCCCAGGAGCATCCTTGGCCTCTGGGCTCAGAACTGGCCTGGAGCTGGGTTTGGAGCTGGTGGCACTGGCTGGCGTTTGGGATGTGGTGGGGATGAGCTGCAGCGGGGATGGGATTGGGGAAGCTCAGACTTTCCCTGCCCTGGAAACGATGCTGAGAGCCAGGACAAACCCACAGAGCCTCGTGCCTGCTGCCACGCTTGCTCCATGCGACCGCTCCGAGCATGGACCTCCTCTGCAGGGAATGTCATGGGCTGGGATCAGAGCAGTGCTGCTGTCCCTGTGGAACTGGGTGCTTTGGGACCTCCTGGAGCAAAGCCCAGGACTTGGACCCTAGAGCACGCATGCAGTGCAAACGCTGCCTTGCAGCGTGTCTGCTAATCCAGCACTTGCTTTTGGTGCTGCATCCCAGTGCAGGGGAAAGAGCCAGGGAGGGTGGTGGATAGGAAAAGGAAGGGCATGGTTGCTGGAGAAGGAGGGATGAGGGATGAAACAGGGAGAGAAAGCTGCGAGGAGGGATGGAGCAGCATCCAAAGCACCTAAAAACACTTGGATGCGACAATGCCAGCCTGGACCAGCACGAAGGGGATGCGCTGCCTGCTTGGGCAATGCCATGCTGCTTCACACCCACCCTGGTGTGTGCACCATCACCAGCCGGGGTGCAGGGTGCACTGCATGGGGGCCATACTCAGGACACAGAACCCCCCCACACAGCACAGAGAGAGGAAGCTCTGGACATCCCTGGGCAGAGATAACATCGGTGAGCACCAGCGGGGGACCGGTCCTCGCCGCGCTTGGCGTCGGGCGAGCGGGACCCCAGCAGGCACCCGGCACCAGGGCTTTATTCTCCTATTATTGCTTTTCCTTCCACCCCCTTCAGTTCCATTGGGCCTGCGACTCGCTGCAACCCCCCCCCACCCCTCCGCTTCCCTTCCTCGCATCCCAGCACCACACCTAAGAGAGGAAGCGGGGCGGGACGGCCGCGCTGCGCCCCGGCACAAAGGCACTTTCCCTCCCTGCTCCCAGCCAGTGCCGGGGGTGATTCCTGCCAGCCCGGCTCCCACCGGCCTAAAAATAGATGTGGAGCATCCCAAGGGGTGGTGGGGGGATAACGGGGGGGGTGGGAGAAGGTAGGGGTGAGCGTTGGTGGTTGAACGGGATGGTTATTTCTGGCTGCAGGGGCCCCAGGGGCTGTGCAGCCATGATGGGAAAATGGCATTTTATACTCACTTTGCAGAGGGTGCAAGGCACAAGGGGAGAAATCGGTGGGGCAAGGGCAGGATCCAGCCCCTCACATGGACCAGTCTTGCTTCTAGAGGTGTTCACACCAGTAATGAATCAACCCCCACGTCATAACCAGTGTGGGGCTGGTGCCGAGGTGCATTCAATTGGATGAATGAGAGGTTTCACAAGAAGAGGTTTGTGGTTGATTACAGCTCATCGTTATCTTTAGGCCACACTGGACAGGTACCCAGCACCACGTGGCAAGGCAGGATGGATGCATGGATGGGTGGATGGACCAACACCTGCATCCGCTTCTTCATCCCAAGGGTGATGCTCTCTCCTGGGGTGGTCAAGGGGAGCAGGGACATTCCCCATGGAGTATGTGGGACCCTTGCAGGGCTGCCCAGCCCCTGGCCCCCCCCAGCACCCCGAGAATGTGCCCCCATGCAGGCGGGTCCTGCAGGGTCCCCCGGGGCTGCTGCAGCCTTGGTGGAACAAAGGCTTCCCAAAGAAAGGCGCTTCCTGCACAGCAAAGGACTCGGGGCTGTGGCTGTGTGTGAGCCCTGCCGGCGCTGAAGTCATCTGCTGGGAAACGCTCCCTGCTCCACCAGAGCCTCCCCTTTTCCAGCGCCCGGTTTCCTCCTGCACAAAGGGTTCAGTGGGTCAGGCAGGCAGTGGGCTGCAGGGCGCCAGCAGATGCACTGTGGCATCCGTGTTAGGAGCATCCCAGCAGCAGCCACCTCTGTGCAAGGGTGACACATCCCCATGTCCCCAGGCCAAGGAGCAGCCCCTTTCCACCCAAGCTGGGGCAGTGGGGAGAGGATGGGTGGTTGTTGTCAGCCCCATTGGAGAGGGGCTCTTCATCAGGGGCTGTAGCGATAGGGCAAGGGGTGATGGGTTCACACTGAAACAGGGGAAGTTCTGTAGCTCTTTAGATGTAAGGCAGAAGCTCTTCCCTGTGAGGGTGCTGAGGCGCTGGCACAGGGTGCCCAGAGAAGCTGTGGCTGCCCCATCCCTGGCAGTGCTCAAGGCCAGGTTGGACACAGGGGCTTGGAGCAAGCTGCTCCAGTGGAAGGGGTCCCTGCCCGTGGTAGGGGTTGGAGCTGGAGGAGCTTTAAGGTCCCTTCCATCCCAGACCAGACTGGTACTCTGTCATGGTCAGGCAGTGCAGAGCAGTGAGCCTGGGCATGCGGAAAGAGCAGGATCCCAGCTCTTGGCTGCATCCCCTCGCAGCCACCAGCGAGCAGCACTCTCTGCCAATCTGAGGGATGGAAGCAGTGGATAACCCCGGTGCGCCCAGGATCTGCACATGCCCCAGGGACACGACGCCACAGGCAGAGCTCCTTTGCTTGCTGTAACTGAGAGATGAAACTGTGCCCATGGGAGCAGCTGAACAGCACCAAACCTGCTCCTCGGCGGCTTTTCTGCGCTCTGTATTCATGTATTTGGCATGAGCAGCTCCACATTGAGGTAATTCATTAATACTGAACAAAAATGTGCTTATGGGAGTCCTGGAATACTTGGTAGAAGTGTAAGACTTTCCTTCCTAAAAGCCTGGGCTCTCCTCTGATGGGAGCTGAGCACTGAAGCAATGACTGCTGCTGTGATCAGCTGTGGGGAAGCGACTCCAGCTCTGCACCACATGGCAAAGCCTTTCCTGGTGTTATCCTGGTGGGGTTTGGAGCATGGGAGCTCTGGGTTTCACAGGGAGCAGGTTGGGGGGCAAACCTGGGGTGATGTGGGTGGAAATGAGGCCCCCCAAGGACCACCCCTGGGGTGCAGGAAGGGGAAGGGAGGCAGGATGGCCCTGGTGAGGACCACGAGCTCTGGCTGCTGCCCATGCAGAGCAAGCAGCCCTTTGGGGTTAGCTGTGGGTTTCGCTGCTCACACAATGGGTATGGCTGTTGTCATTCCAGTTATAATCCTGCACAAACAAGGCTGACCTCTGGTTATTGAAAAGAGCTGAAAGAGAAAGACAACTCTCTCCGCTTCCTCGGATGCGGTGCCTGATTGCCGGGCTTGGCCGGCACCGTGCCACTGTGCCCCGGGGCACCTTCCCTCTGTCCCCAGTGCCCTTTGCTCATCAGATGGAGCTGGAAGCCAAGAAAA